GGTAAGTAGAGCCCACCCCTGCTACTTACCAAGTAACTATTGGCATACACAGAAGGTTAGATAGGAAAACTGCTATCTCTGAGACAGATGAATGTTTCACTGGATTTGAGTTGTTTGTCCAGGATTTTTTTTCAAACAAGGAAGTTAAAACTAATTTCACATTAATAACTTGGAAACTAAAGAGAGTGATTTTGAAGTCTTATGCTTCTAACCAACTAGCAGTTGTACAGATTTTGCTGCTAGCCATCAAAATGGAGACAGATGGGAAATTGTTTAAAAAATTCTCATTCTTATTTTGCTAAGCACAAACTTCTACTTCAAAATCCCTGGAGTTATAGTTAGCTTGTGGTAATCCTCCTCCTGTCAGGCCTTATTGCTTAATTATAGTGATGTATTTAACTTATTTATCACAAGAAAGCACAAGTCACTCACTCTAAAAATCTGTATTAGCTATGATTCACAAATAATAGATTACAAGTATAGATAGATGAGGATTTAAGACTATCAAAAAAGGTGTAATGATGATATCTAATTGCCCCCTGAGAAGCCTTAGTAATACCTAAAAGCATATTTAAAATAAACAGCAATAGTTCCAGGATTTTAATGGAAGATAGGAGAGCTGTTCTATTCAACATAGATTAAACAGATTTTAATTCAAGTACCATCTGCATAACACTGAGCAAACAACATAAAATTCTACTTAAAATAAAGTAAACTGTTAAGTTTTCTGCTACAAAAAACAGAATAGGCCACAGCAAAGCTTTAGTGATCATGTTTCACTTAGTTAACATTTGCTGTTGACAATCCTCTCATACCCTGTTCTCTAAATTCCATGAAATCCTTTCATATATGAAATTTAAATACCCATGAAAGAGAAAGCCATCCATCTAGTTAAGAATACAGATTTGTGAAAATATCATGTGTCTAGCATGTCACAATTATAAATAGCATTACCAGAATATGCATGTTCAATGAACCAAAATAATGAATTGTTTTGCAAGGCAGTACATGGAATATTTAAGAGGTCAAACCTAAGTGTGAAGAAAATTAGAAAGTAGATATTAGACGACTTTAAAGGTATTCAGATATAACTGCTGCTATCAGTTGCTTATTGATAAATTTAGATTTATCTAAACTAAATCACAAGTGGGTTGGGGGGAGGGGAGAAAATGCCAGATTTGGCTGGCAAATGAGATTTGGCTGGAGTGCTGGGTAACACTTGAAAAAAAAATCTGTTTTTAAATTAAATTGATTAAATATGCTGCAAGTCTGACATTCAGAGCCAATAAGCATACAGATAAAAATAGAGAATGCCTCAGAGAGAGGTGATCCTAGTTATGTACAAAGAGAGATGCCCCTCTCTCTTTTATTTGAGGGGATAAAAAAAAGCTTTTTGTTATTTTTAAATCAAGGCAACCATTGCTCAGTTGAAATTGAGAAAAGAGGAGCTAATTGATTCCCTAAAGCTCAAATTAAAGACTAGAATTTTCTGGAAAAAAGAAAATCTAGGAAAACTGAATCAGAGTGATAGTTGCTTTATATACTATATCCAGTGGTGGGATTCAGCCAGTTTGCACCACTTCGGGAGAACCGGTTGTTAACTTTCTGAGCAGTTTGGAAAACTGGTTGTTGGAAGAAATCATTAGGGCAGAGAACCGGTTGTTAAATCACTCGAATCCCACCACTGACTATATCTGAAGAAACAGAAAAATATGCTTTAAAACTTTGGTATTTATTGCTCTGTACTATGCAAATAGCTTCTCTTTTATTTATATATGCAAGGTCTATAATTATGTATACTTCAGCCTTCTATGCATATTGCAGATTGTGCATGAGGAGATAAAAGCTTTGCCAATTCAAATTTTAAAACCTACTCCAATCTCTTTACCATGTATTTCTTTATTATTTGTAGCAGACCAGAACTTTCCTGTAGCGTACTAGTAACATTGCTTTATTATTATTATTCTATTTTTCTTGTAAAGCTAATGTTGGCCTGTGATTTTGAACAGGTCTGCATTTACCTTCTTCAACAGTAAATCCTAGCATATTAATAAAGTCAAAAAGAATGAAAATGGTTTATGCTTTCTTTTTTAGAAATAAAGTTTGATTTTGTTTATCTTTTGTGAAATTCATTATAAGGAAGGGCTGAATCCAGCCACATATCTTGATGGCCAGAAAATGGCACTACAGTAATTACTTTATGTTCTTCCCCCAATATCAGAAAGACAGTATAGATCAGAGTGTCAAACTGGCGGCCCATAGGCCGGATGCATCTCATGCAAGCCATGTCTACCTCAGCTCCATGAAGGGGAAAAAAGTCACGATACATCATGTGACAGCAACGTGACATAGCGAGTTTGATACCCGTGGTATGGATTGTGAAAACCCTCACCAAGGGAGTGTATACTTGATGAGGCACTTTCTGAAAGATAAGATAGTGGCAGCATAATTAGGTAGTAGCCACTCCAAGCAAAAGAATGGGGCCATGATGTGAAAAGTATATGAAAGCTGGTTGGAATAGAATGAAAAGAATTGTGTTACAAGGTGTTACAGAAGTAGGTTGAATTACACAAATGCAAAAATAAAAATGATGTCTTGTGGAATGAAGGAAGATAAAAATGCATGTAACAGGCCATAATACTAGCTAATATGTTCTTGGTGATTAGCTCACAGTAAAAAGGGAGGTCACTGCATTCTGTACGTTTTGTAGTTTCTGACCCAGTCTAAATCGTGGCTAACCCACAAGTAGCCCCATGCATTGCAGTACACTGCAGTTCAACTCAGTAATGATGAAGGCATGACAATGATTGCTTCACAAAATGAAGATGAGGAAACTTATTATAGTATGTTAAAAGAGAGGGGGAAAAAGTCACAAAGAATGTAATCAAAAGATACCAAGGAACAGTTAAAATGAAAGAAGGTGGTAAAAATATTCACCAATTCTGACAGAAATAAAAAGTGTTTTGGGAAGTGTGTGAAGGTTAATTAAATTGCTTCCAGCAGTTTAAATTGAATTAAAAATAAAAGCAATGAAGTGAAAAGAAACTGATGTAAAAAAAATGCCAGCAGGAGCAATCTAGAGAATTCTATGGGAATGATGTGAACTTGTTGAATAGTGGAATTGGAAAGAATGCTATAACATTTATGGTCAAGCACATCTATGAAAGTATTTAGCAGGCTTTAGCAGATTAAAGAAAAATGAGGAGGAACAGAGAATAATTTTTTTTTGAAGTGCAGCATGGCCTTGGAAAGGGGGTATCAAATCAGAATTTTGGCCTTCAGTTAATCATGATTTATGAACATGAAAAGTAACATTTGAAGTTTATTGATTTTGAAAAAACATTTGCAAACAAATGTTGATAGGTTGAATTATGGGTTTAAGGAAGTATAGATTTGCTTAATGAATGTGATATGGTAGAAATAAAGGATGGCGGAGAGTAAATTGAATCCTTAGTGAATCATTTGACATTCATTCATTCAACATAAAGGTATCTATGAAGAAATGTATAAGAAATGCTGATGATAACTGGAGAAGAACATTGGTTCAGGAGGTGAATATATATGTACTTCTGTATGTAGTTAATAATTATACCGTTGACTGAAAATCCAGAGTTTGCAGCAAATAATAGACAGAATGTATGATATAACAAGAGTGTGGATTTCAAAATCAATGTATCAAAGATAAAGGTTATCCAGAAAACTGAGCAAAGAATGCTAAGATGTGGCAACAAATGAGATCAAGTAGATGAATTTGTGTATCATTTTGGAATATAAACATAAACATATTTATATATTAATTAAATTTATATATCTGCCTATTTCATGTTCACTCTGGGTGGTGAACAACAATAATAAGAAACAATAAATAAAAGTTGTACATGTACAATGTACATGTATATAAATCTTATTAATACATGTAAACATATTTTTAAAAGTATTAATAAATATAATACAAGCAAAAGATACAAACCACAGGAGAGGGAGGATAAAAATTACACCTCAACAATTGAGCCATCTTAACAAGTTTTCAGTTGCATGGGAAGTACAGGCCAGTTTTCACACTTACAATCATTGCAGCATCCCCATTATCATGTGATCAAAATATGGGCAATTGGCAACTGGCATGTATTTATGACAGCTACTGTCTCAGGGTCATGTGATAATTTGTAACCTTCCCAGCACGCAAACTCAATGAGATAAACTGATTAGCTTAATGATCACATGGCTCACTTAACAAGTGCAGTGAATCGCTTAATAATTGTGGCAAAAAAGGTCACTAAATGGCGCAAAAGTCATTTAGCAGCTGCCTTGCTTAGCAACAGTAATTTTGGGCTCAATTGTGGTTGTAAGATGCAGGCTATTGGTAAATTATGATTGAATAGAATTTATGTAATTTTGAAAGACGAAGGGGCAAGTTTAAAGAACAAAAAGCAATATATGAAGTAATATAAAGTATAGTGGAAGAATGGTTTGCAAGGGTGAGTATGCAAGAGGTATGGTAAATAATGTTTGTGTAAATTAGATTCAGTTATGGTTTCTTTTCTTTTTCTAATCTCAGGCCTTTAATTTTTTTGTACATTTTTATGATTCGCATACCTATTCACCTGACCTATTAATGTAAATAGAAATTTCAGATAGTTGAAGTTCAGATGTTAATTTCTTATTTAATGGATCATATACAACAGGAAAGAAATGGAGTATCTTGAATACATAGGAAAGAATAATTATTACATAGATTAAGCATTTATGTTTAGTTAAAATGGGATAAGGCTGAAAAAGAGAAAGAGTCAACATGTTTACACAGTATGGAGGCATACTGTTTAAACAAGTTTATTGAGAGGAATTCTCAATTATAATATTTTGAGCATAGAATTTATAAATGGTATCACACTTAAAAAAGACATTTAAAATTGATTAAAGTTTTAAAAGTTTATTAAATTATGTTTAAGTTTTATCGTGCTGGTTACAAACAAGCACTGTTTTAAAAGGGTTGGTCATACCTTTGAAGTATCTTCTTCATCTTCATGAACTGAACTGGATGGTGAAGGAGTGGCAGATTTGCTACCAGGGGGAGATGGAGAGTTGTGAGGAACATTGTTTCCACCCATATTTAAACCAAGTTGAGCGCTTAGTTGTGACTGGTTAATAGTTGTCAGCTGGCCATGTTGCATTATTCCTGGTTGCCTCATATCTCCAGGCTGGACCCTTGGTCTCATGGCTGCTAACTGTGGATGGGAATTATATTGAGTTCCTTCTGCATTCCGTAATTCCTGCATCTAAAAGAAAGAATATTATACATTTACTATTTGTTGTTATTATTCCATTGTTCAGAGAATTTATCCTGAAAAATGATTTAAAATTTCATTAAATAAATGAAACCATATGATAGGGAGTTGCAAAATTTTCCTTACCTTAAAATACAGCAATATCTAAGAAAAGCTTAAAGCTTAATAAAAATTTCATAATGTCAAAAAATTCCTTTTATATATCATGATTAAAAAGCCTCGCAAGCAGGAAACATGAGCTAAGATTATGTAATTATATCTAAATTTTATCGCTCTCCAAATCAATTTAGTTTTGAAAGAGCTGTAGAATTTTTAAACAGTTAGACTCTAGTTTTAATATATAAGGCTGTCCAAAAAGCTACTATAATATTCCGTGTGGAGAAAACAGTGAGTTAATGATTGGTTGATTACTTGACTACACTACTCATTTTCTGAAATCATTATAAATGAGTGCTAAAGGCTCTAAAGTTGTGAGCTTCATAAATTACATCCGTCGGCTTGATTTCATTTTATTTTTTTAATTTGAGCAATAAATCTAAACTTTACTAAGATAAAAAAATGAAAAGGCACTAAAAGAAAAAATACTTCTCTGTTCATTATGACAAAATACATTCAGATATTTAAAACTACCAGTCAGAAGTTTTCAACTTTGAGCTAAACAATACAGGTAGTCCTCTTATAACAGTTCGTTTAGTGACTGTTCAAAGGTTCAATGGCACTGAAAAATGTGACTTATGAACGTTTTTCAAAACTACGATCTTTGCAGCATCCTTATGATCCTGTGATCAAAATTTGGATGCTTGGGAATTGCTTCATATTTATGACTGTTGCAGTATTCCAGGGTCATGTGATCACTTTTTATGACCTTCTGACAAGCAAAGTCAATGGGAAGCCAGATTCACTTAATAACCGGGTTACTAACTGATCAACTGTAGCACTGAACATCTGTGGCAAGAAAGGTCACAAAATGGGACAAAATTCACTTAACAAATGTCTCACTTAACAACATAAATTTTGAGCTCAATTGTGGTCGTAAATACAAAAGAAGTGGTACATTTTACAGCATTAGTTCAATTATTTGTTTGAAAGTACAATAGAAACTTGGCATACATAAAAAGTCAACCTAAACCTTATCTTTCCAAGGTGCAATACATTATACATTAATTTATACTCTATTCTTACTTTTTTACTCACCATTTTTATAGAGTTTTGTTATAAAGATAAATATTTTGAAAAATAACCTTACTCATTTATATTTAGTTTGATGTGAAATGAAGTAATAAGTGGTAGGATGAAATGTTTTTGCAATAAACTAAATTATTGGGAAAATCATTGAAATATTTGATGAATATATTATATTTGATGAAATATGCAATCACTTCAGAATGACTGAAGTATGCTTAAAATATATCTGTAAGGATCTTACTATACAATCAATCCAATCTGTAGGAGGATCTATTCTGAATATATGAAAGTAGTAGCAGCACAGTTATTCTGGTTAATGCTATAACTAATAAATAAAATAGAATAAATAAAATAATAAAATTATTAGAAACATGTATTTTTCATCCTTCATAAAAACAAATACAATTGCAGAAATCTGTCTGTCAACAATCAAGAACTGTACTCAATATATGGAATAGATGGTATATCCAAAATGCTCTAAATTAACTTTACCAAATTTAAATTACTGTAGCCCAAATTTTCTCATTTTTAATTTGATTACAATTTTTTAAAAAGAATAAATTTCAATTAAAGTCCTAATTAGGCACTCTTCATTATTATTTCTCTAATGAGGAAGAACTGTTATAAATCTTTAGCTATGAACTCACATTTAGCAGATCAGAAGACTGAAAATGAATATAAATGAAATTTATTTCTATATATATCTAATTGTGGCTTATTTAAACTGTGGTTTGAGAATAAATATTGGTTTCTTGAATTGATGGCCTGATGCTGGCATGATTTTAGACCCTGTCAGAACTGAACAGGCACATTTTGCTCTACCTCTCTCCCTGGCTCCCAAAAACTAACAATTTAATAGTTAAATACTGCTTTCTCCATAATACCAGGGACAACCTTGGTGAACATTTTAATACAACACATCCTCAAGTTCAGAAGTTATAGAAAGTGAAGACACAAGTGACATGATGGCAATCTTAGAAGTCCTGACCTGGTTTTTGAAAGAGGCCAAAGAAATGCAGCTTTCACAGAAATAATTTAAAAAGTTACCAACTATAAGTACAATGAATCAAAATATTATTTTAAGCTTCCAGAAAAATATCTTCAAAAATTTGGACGACCATGATGTAATGTATGTATATATACAGAGAGTATCATACTAGCTGCAGAATTCTGGAAGTGGAACTCCACATAACTTAAAGTTGCCAAATATATCTGAATGGAGTAACTGTATCCAGAATTTTGATTATTTTTAATTTTTCTTAAAACACCAAAACATTCTAAAGTGGAATCATGTGGCATCAGTTATCACTTAAATGTTTTCTAGGGGTATTATAATAAATTTTAACCATAACATTAGAATTAATGTAATGTATAATCAGGGATGGGAGAGAACAGAGCATGAAAAATATTGTACATTGACAACTGGCAGTTTAGAAAGTAATCTTGAAAACATTTCAAGATGGTTACTGGCTCTTTCAACAGCTCTATTCTAGTCAAACATATTAGCCTTCAAAGCTATCATTATTTCTGCCTCTAGCAGACAATCTATATCTGAACAGTTGTAAACATAAAACTTGACTGTATTGCTTCTGATCCAGCTGTTTAACTGAACAGCATTTGGTGAATAAAGAACTAGAATATGGGCACCCTGGAGGCCTTATTTGCTAATGTTAGTCACCAGCTGCTCCTTTCTGTGATGATAGTAAGAAAGGTCTGGAAAGAAGGAAGAGGAGGAGGAGGAGGAGATCATCTCAGAAACCTTTAGATTTTGTATGCTTGTTATCATTTAAACTTCAATATTTGTGAATTTTCAAATCTCAAGGTTACTGAATATAGTTAAAAGTGTGAATAGAGCCTATAAGTTACAACAAAATATTTTTCCTGGCAGATCTTTAGATATATGCATATGCAACCAATCATATTGAATTTTCATAGTAAAATAAGATTATTAAGGGAGCTAGAGTTTTAATTGATATTTCTAGAATCTAATATCACTCTCTTGTAATTCTTACACTTTCAGAAGAGAATTGATAGAAGATAAACAAGTAAGGTAAACAGCTAAAACTTTTAACTGACTAGACATTTCCAAGGTTAGAAAAGTGGCTTGGAAATCTTGGTTTAAATTCAATGGTTTATACTGATGGAATATCACACTACATACTGTGTTTCCCCGAAAATAAGACCCTGTCTTATATTTTTTTTAACCCTGAAATAAGTGCTTGGCCTTATTGCCATGTGCTCAAAAGCCCGATGGGGCTTATTATCAGGGAATGCCTTATTTTGGGGGAAACAGGGTAATAATTAGCTATAACTATAGCTGGGCAAAGAGCTTACTGACCAATATACCCAGCAGGTCTTCAAAATGAAGCTGGGAGACTAAGAAGACACTCACCTTGCTGTTTTAGGGGAATGCATCCCCCTAAGAGCCAAAAATGTATTTGTTTTCTTGTATGTGCAATATCTATTAATGGCAGCTGACCAAGTGGATTGAGCTGGTTTATCTTGGCACTTATGAAAAAGAATGTAAGAGGACACCTATCTATGGCTCCATTTTCTGTAAACTGAAATTATAAACTGTTTTATTCTTAAGTATAAAACCAGCTAACTCTATAATAGTCTGATCGAGTAAAGACTGTTAGATGATAGAAAGTCATTTAACCTCTCTTGGACCTCTATTTGGAAAATCCATCCTGCTTGCACAACAGTAAACAAACACTCTCAACTGCCCTTCTGAAAAAATTTCTTGCATGTACACAGTTATATGTGTGAATCTGCTAAAACTATGGTTGTGAAGAATTCTTCTCATACCTTTCCTAGTCTAGATTATGCCAGCATGTACCTTCTTTAATCAAAATCAAGAATACTGAAGGACCCTGAAAACCAAAGTACTTAATTGTTTTGTTGTAATTGGCCAAGGAACTTAATTGTTCATCAAAATAATCTCCAACAATTAGTAACAATTTTCCAGTATCTCTCAGTCCTGTCATAAATTTCTGTTCAGCAATATCATTATTCTAATTTGTTTATTTATTTATTTATTTATTTTATTAAACTTGTTTGCCGCCTTCTCTCCCAAAGGACTCAGGACGGCTCACAACGATAAAAAACACATAAAATTCAGTATTCAAATATAGTTTTGTTTAGCTGAACAAAAAAGGTGACTTGATATAACATGGAACTATTAGATATATTTCAACACTTGATATCAATGCTTTCATTAATAACAGTATATTTGGATATAATGAAGTTAATCTTCCAATTTAGGTTTTATATATTGTATTATTCAAAATTTCGCTAGTGTCTTCATTGCAAAACAATTATCTTTCCTTGTCCTTTAACCTTATTAACACTACTAAACAGAACTTTCATAGCTGGGGTATTATTTGTACTGGATGGGAGAAATTAATGGATGCAGGTAGTCCTCGACTTACAATAGTTCATTTAGTGACTTTTCAAAATTACATCACTGAAAAAAGTGACTTATGATCATTTTCACACTTACAACCATTGTAGCATCCCCATAGTCATGTGATCAAAATTCAGATGCTTGGCAACTGGTTCATATGTATGACAGTTGCAGGGTTCCAGGATCAGGTGATCACCTTTTGTAATCTTTTGACAAGCAAAGTCAATGGGGAAACTAGATTCATTTAACAACCATGTTACTAATTTAACAATTGCAATGATTCACATAACAACTGCAAGAAAGGTCATAAAATGGGGCAAAATTCATTTAACAACTGTCTCAGTAACAGAAATTTTGGGCTCAATTGTGGTAGTAAGTCAAGCACTATCTGTATTTGGAA